TAAAAAATCCAACAAGATGACACAATCAATGATCCGTGTTGGAAAAAATACGACACTAGTCATGTACGAGATAAAATAAAATACTGAGTAAGTCAGAGTTGATTCAAGCGAGTAAAGCAAAATGTTTTACCGCCAAATTGTGGAAATTTACTCCCCAAATTTAGATTCCTTATTTAACCAATGGAGAGAATTAGAAAGAGAACGCATAGTCAAAAAAGAAATGTTTTTTTTTTTTTTTTTTTTTTTTTTTTTTGGGGGGGGGGGGGTGCTCAACGATAAGTCAATAGCGGTATCCCAACTCAATTGTTAACTAAATTTGAATCAACATCACATTTTCAACGCTGAATTGTCATTATTAAATCAATTTTAAATCTGTGTTGATCAACCTCCAAAACAAATTTCAACGTTCAATCAATGTTGTGTCCCTGCTTGGATGCTGCCTATTAACAATTGCAAGGCAAATGTGGACTAGCTAAGAAATTGTTTTCGCCTCAAATAACTAGGTCAAAGTCATGTTAACATAGAGGACATTACAATCGATATAACAAATATAAGACTCATTTTATATCAATTCTGGGCATCTTAAATTACTTTTAAGTTCCCAGTGGAGGATTAATTGCTTAGTATATAACATTAAATTAATACACACATGATTAGCGCCTGATGACGATTGCAATGGCCTGGGCACAGGTACTCGTAGTGATGGTACAGTACGTGTGTAGGTAGTCAACACACATAAATTGTTTTCATGAAAGTCATAAAGCATCTGTGTATTTTGAATCCCTTTGGTGGAATACGTACCCTCAGCATATACTGTTCGGGGTCAACGACAATAATATAATATCAAAACACTTTACCTGACGGTTGAAAATTCTCCAGAATAAGTGAAGCATAAACAGTATATCAGGTGCGGTGTATGTGGCCTAGATATAAGCTTCTGTGTATTTTATCGACCGTGTTTTGTGACCTGACAAAACCTTGATTTGCTACACGCATGCGTATAGATTTTAAAAAGGGTTTAGTTTGAACGTCATATAAAAGTGATTTTCAGGGCTTTTTTTCATTTTTTTTTATTAAACCTTTTTGATGAAGGTATAAGTTTTGTTTTATGGAAGGCATTGCCCGTCTTAGACACAAGAATTGAATGCTTTTTTTCTGCAAGTTAAGCATTCAATACCTGTCGTGTCTTCTATTTCTATTTTTGGTTTCGGATGTGACCATAGTTGATGGCATCGAAAATGACATCAAAGAATATTAAGTCGATTAAGCAATGACACACATTTCACTTTCGCCATACATGCCGACCCGGATAGAGTGTTCCGATTGTCAGAATTTCCAGGTGATGACAAGAAGAAAAACAATAAATAAACTAAACGATTGATGAACAAAAGCCACGTACAGCATCAAAGTTGAAATTGATTTTATTCTTAGACGGTGATAAAAAGAACAACTGTTGGCAGAATGCAAGAGTTTACTGGAAAATCGGCTGCATGTGCTACTAGCATTTGGGATGTTTGTGCGCTGGTTAATTGTGATGTTCACCAGTATTCTCAGTAACAAGTGAACGGTTTAATAACTCAACTAAACCAGTGGATGGGGATGGGAACTGGCCCGACCAAGAAAGTAGATAGTCCTATGTATACCACCTACCTTCTACCAGGGACACAGATTGATTTTCACTATATATTCACAGATATGTCTCTACCTAACTATGTACATTTTTTGGTATCGTGTAGATTAATTAAAAATAATGAGCATGGAGCTGCCTTGGCGGGGGTCTCCGCTCTCTGATAGCTTTATTTTTTTAAAATATTGATCTAATATGCAGTAATCGACGTTGCGTCATAAGCAATTGTTAATTATTACACAATAACGTTTATTGATTATTCTGTCTTCTACCTATTATGGTTTTTTACATACAATTTCAGAGATTTCCCGAGCTTCATAATAAGCCCAGATATCAAAGGTGTTTTGAAGAAATGCGGGTCCGTTTCAGACTATAACCGGATGTGCACATGAAGGATAGGCTTCAAGAGGGATTAAATAAATGAACACTGCATCATATACATGTGGGCATGTAAAATTTTCAAAACATCGGGAGGAAGTGCACAGAACATTCAAATTCTATTCAAAACTACCTTGTTAAAAAAAAAAAAAAAAAAAAAAAAAAAACCTGACGGTCTAGATCGCTGTCTACCTTGCTTTGTACAAACATTTAACTTGGCGGTCTGTTAGAGTTACTATAAATAAACTTTACTTGCTCTGTGCTACATGTATTTCCACCAACGAGAGGTTGAGCCTTCAGGGACGACATCAGAAGCGTATGTACTGAGAGAAATAGCTATCAAACATATGCTCATATCCAATTCTGGGTCTGGCCAATTGTGTGTTACCCCCAAGCTGTGAAAAGAAATTTCACCAGTGTCGTTTTAGTCAGAGAACGTCTTGAAAAGCAAGGGAGTTGAATTCCAAAGACAAAAGAAAGTGCGTTAAGTTCATTGATAACCCTGAAATTTTGTCTTTAACACTGGAAATTATACGTGGACCGAGTTACTTCCACTACATATCTTGGCTTTCTTCGCCCCAAATATGCCCATGAAATATAGCACAAGTGCCCAGCTTACTCAAGCATCGATTCGGCCAATTATCGTGTGCATTGGTTTGTGTATTAATTTAACTGTACCGAGTGTGAAAGAGACAAAATGTTAGGGTTATCAATAAACTCAACGCACATCCGTCTTGGCGGGTCCCATTGGATAATTTTGTTACCCGGTAAAGCCACTTTTTATTTCCCGAGATACGTGAAATGTTCATATCTCTTGAGAGTTCAACCCCTAGATTCTGCACACGTACATGAAGGTTACATTAACTTTATATATAAGCTTTCAAGTTTCGCCATTTTGTGTGTGATCTTGCGTAACGGGTTATTTAACGTGGCAAAAACAGCGGATTCGACTGATAATTTATACAGAAGCATCTTTTCATACCTTAGGTCCCATCTCACTTACCAGCAGCATGAGTGAGGACACAGAGCCAGGTAGAGAAATGGACTTGTGGATGTCAAAATGGGAAAAGGGACAAGCAGTCTGGCACAAAACCGTTGTTCACCAGCTGCTGGTGAAAAATTTGGATTTGCTCGTTGCTGGGAAGAAAAACGCTAAGGTCCTCTTTCCACTGTGTGGGAAAAGCTTAGATATGAAATGGTGAGTAAATAAATAATCTGCTATTAGCAATACACAAGCCTTACGATAATGTTACATCATCACTGCAAGATGTCGCGTATGGTCCATTTTCAGTTTGGGATAGTACATTTAAATTTCCGTTGAGATGTGGAAGATTGGACATGAAATGGTGAGTAGATATATAAATCTGCAATAAGCAATACACAACTCACAATAATATTGCACCACCACTGCAAAATGTCACGTATGACGCATGTTCAGTTTGGGGGAACACATTTTAATTTTCGTTGTATTAAAATGTGATTCGGAGAATGTGCATGAATGACTTTTCCTTATATTGAAATTGAGATGTACTTTTTTCAGAAGGATTTTATAGCCATGGAAAATATGTTATTAGAAAGAATGTATCGTCTGCACACTTCTTTTTTAAGGCAGAGTACGGTCATCATAAGGCCATTTGGTTACCGAAACAAAACTAAACTTATGCACTTTGTAAATGTAGTTTAATATTATGAAATGTTTGTGCTGGCAAAACAACTTTCACTGCTTTAAATATTATATAATAAATGTATTAACATTACATAAATATCATAACAATATAAAACAGTGAATATAACTACTACATTCATTTCAAAAATTGAAATGCGATAATGACATATTCCACGATTTTTTCAGGCTTGCTGACCAGGGACATACTGTTGTTGGTGTGGAGGCATCGGAACTTGCTGTCCAGTCTTTCTTCACAGAAAACGGTATACAGCATACAGTCACCGACGTCCCTGCTATTGATTTCAAGCTTTACCAGGACTCGGACAACAAGATAAGAATTTATGTGGGGGATTTTTTTAAATTCAGCAAGGAATTGGAGAGAGAATTTGACGGAATTTGGGACAGAGGAGCACTAGAGTCCATACATTTAGAGGACCGTGCGCGCTACGTCAAACTCATGGTATCACTTATGAGTGAAGATTGTCAATACCTAGCTGAGGCATATTATTATGAAGGCGGTAGCAAGCGAGGACCACCACCGCATTCTACTCGCCCAGATACCATATACAAGTTGTTTGAAAACACCTGTGATGTAAAATTGGTTGAGCACGTTGATCTTAAACAGCCAGGTGCCATCTGTTCCTCTTCTTTTAATTCGGAAGTTGATGTTCTGTTTCTTAATTTGTACCTTTTCACAAAGAAAAAATTAAGGCGTATTTATATATATATATATCGCTCGGGTGACAGTGTATTATCTCACACATATGTTCTTCCTTTTGCTTTTATGCAGAGGCACTGAAAATGGCCGTATATGTTCTGATCATTGATCTTTTTTGGTGTCGCCATAGCCTTCCGAAACATTTCTCCCTTTAGCTGCCAAACCATATATGGCTATTTTGTTTGACGAAAATGTAGGTTGTATAAAGAAATGAACTCATTCAAACTTTTTTCACTAAAGTTATTGATGTTTTGTATATTTTTGCGGCGATCATGTAGCTGCCATGAAACTTCCATATCATTTGTTGTTAAATTATTTACTTCAGATTAACTTCATGTAGAAGGACTTATTTGGTAATTTGTCAAATTGAGGTCGAAAGTCTGTATAATTGGAATATTTAAAATAAATTTATCGATTAAAATGAATTTTTTCTTCAATTTTCATCCTTCTTTACATGCATATGCCCCGTTATTGGCAGATTGAGTGATTGTTTTTACAATGCGTTTTACATGGCTACTAAAATGGAAGTTTACGGTGTGTCACAGGCAGTGTGTGTGGCCTACTAGGGCCCCATTCCCATAAAATCAGTTTTACAAGTTTGTCCATAGTACCTATACATGTATATTACAATAATACTATTGTCCATGGTATGTTATACAAAAATGAAAATGAATGAAAATAAATAAAAATATAAATAATTAGAAAGTTAATTTCCACATGTAATTTCTATTGTGGCCTATTATTGCAAAAAGCCTAATTGGGAACTTACGTTACCAAACGTAACGTATAATGTTTATTGTATTGTTTTATGTATTTAGCACAACACTCAATACAGATTATTCACTTTGTCTGCATTGTCTTGTCATTATTTATGAAAATATTTAATGGAATTGACAACATTGTTATAAGACTCAAACATCTGCTTCGCATACATCGGCACTGAGGATGCTTTGATATTTTCTGGACTTCTTTAGACTTGTAGCTCACTCCATCTAATGTTTCTCGAGTACACACCAAAAAGAACTACGTGACATCACAATAAGGAACTATTTTTGTACTTTTGTACTCGCTGGTAACCTTCCCAGAGACTAACTTTGGATCGAAATATCTCCGAGGGGATTCTCGCTTAATTGCAATTAACTTGGGCAGATTACATGTCTGTCACGCCTGCTGAGGCTGATAGGTGGTAATTAACTAGCGTTTAGCAGCTTTAGTGGGCGTCCCAGGCGCCTAAGCCGTTTGGGCTGAAAGCAATGGACCGTGGAGATGGACCGTTCCTGTTAGATCGATCCAGGGATAGGAACTCAGTCCTAGTTCCGGAACCATACAGGGTTACTACTTAATATGGAATATTTTTTATCATTGCTATTTTTGATTGCTGATTAAAATTTTTTGGCTTAATTCATCTAAAAAGTATGTCATTAAATGATAAAAATATCCAGACTTCTATTGTGAAATATTTTGGTTAATAATATCAAATCTGACATAAGATGACATTCAAAAGATAAGAACACCCCAAGAAAACCACAACAATTTGATGTCAGTATTAACTTTAAGCTAAGATATTAAAGAAAATGATAGCCTCCGGACAGTGATATGTTACACAGTCAAAGAAATCATTACAGTAAATCATGAAAAGTCATCAATAGCGGGTATGACCACCAGCAGCCGCTTGCAGCGCCCTCATCCTACATGGCATACCCTGTGACAAAGAGTTTGGATGGGGATATCATTCTACGCAGTGATATTTGCCTGTCGCAGTTCATCACTATTTACCGGCCGATGACCATAGCTATTAATTCTGTGAGTTACTTCCGCCCACAGATTTTCAATTGGGTTCATTTCTGGGGAGTTTGCAGGCCAGGGCAGTTGCGGAACCCATTGGTTTTGAAGAAAAACAGTGATTCTTCGAGCTTGATGTGGGGTTGCACAGTCGTCTTGGTACACAAAGTTGTTCCTGAAGATGACTCTTACAAATCGAAGCATTGTTTGCTGTAGAATGTCTCTGTAGGAATCCTGGTTAAGGTTGCCTCCTAGAAAAACCAACTGGTTCTGGGCACCTGCATGAAATGCTCCCCAAACAGAGACGTTACCACCCCCTGCTTGTACCCTAGGCAGTACACAATCATCGTTTTATGCCTCTCGTACAAGTCGGCGGACACGGATTCGACAGTCAACCCCCAAAATTCCATATCTGGCCTCATCACTGAAAACGACGTCCAGTGTTTTGGCTTCAAACGCACCTGGTCCCCAGCCCATTGCAGACGTCGCTGTATATGACCTGCTGTTAACAGTGGCTTCCGTACTGGTCTTCGTGCAAAATAACCGACTTGCAGTGATCTCTTATTCACGAGGGACCTTGAAACGGGCGTTTGAAAGACATTCTGCCACTCTTTTCTGAGGATACTGGTTGTCTTTGAACGACTAGCACGGCGCACTCTAAGGAGAAGGCGATCCTGTCTTCTTGGTGTGATACGCGGACACCCTGGTGGAAGTATTGGAGTAGGTGCCCCTGTTGTAGCTTTCTTTGGAGGACTTTACTAACGGTTCCTGAAAAATGTTGAATTGTCTGGCAATGGCTGTCCGTTTCTGGCCATTTTCTCTGAGAGTAAGAATCCCATAGTAAGCTGCATTGCTTAGCTGTCGAACCATATCTTCTCTAAGGTACCTGACAAGTTTCAGAGCTATTCCTTTGTTGCTTTTCTAAATAAACTCCAAAGATTGACCAAACCCATGTGTTTTTATACAAGGGCAGAAATTGCCGAAAAGACCACCCCTCACATTTCTGACCACAGAACATGCAACTGCATGCATTAATTGTTTCGAAAGTTGTGTGGTAATTAGGTAACACACCTGGCTACACGTGGAGTGACGCTTCCGTTTTGGATTTAAAAGAGTAAGAGAGAAAATAAATATTTTGTAGAAAATTTACTTGCCAAAAAATAATATTCCATATTAAGTAGTAAGCCTGTATGTTCCGGTAGATATAACTGTTATTCTTTTTATCATGTTCCATTATATGTTGTAGTGATTCATCGGTGGTAAATTAAAACTGATTCAAAGATGTCTTCATAAAAACTCGTCACAATCTTTAAAAAAAGATAAATCACCGAACAGCAAGCGTGGTTTGGTGCGATTCAGTTGTCAGTTGCAAACTACTTCCTGGTTTTCACAAGGTTCTTCAAGGACTCTAAAACATCGTTATAATTGCAGCACATACCATAAACACTCAAAAATAATTAGATATGGGCATATCAGATTATATACATGCAAAAATTCCACATGATAACGATTTACAGCCTCGCGGGAATTATTTTCCCTTGACGCTCTTTGTCGCGCTGTCGGTCGATGCGGCATCTATATCAAAACAAATTGACTGCAAATCAAGCACGATTTTGCACCTTCATGTATCGTAACACGTTTTCATATCATGTACCTTTTATCTCTACAAGTATGTTCTGCCCAAAATACCAAAAGAAAAAATGTTATCTCACTATGTTGTTGGAAAAACTGCTTTTTTTCTCCGAGCCCACGTCATCGCTCCTGTTCAACCTCCAGCTAAAATGACCACTCAGGTTCACGTCTTACACCACTTGACGTAATATGACGTCAAACTTCCGGCACAATCCTGTCTCCTCCGGTACCCTCTATTTTTCTGTACCGTTCAGATTATTTTATTAATAATGAGCGGCAAATGCGGGTCCGCATGAACAGATGAAAGATAGGCTTTAAGGATGATACAGTGAGGGAACCTGTTACATGCTGGTAACTAACGTGCAGACATTTTGTTTGAAAACCATGTACAATTTTCAAAACATCGGTAGAAAGTGTACAGAACATTCAATTTTTATTCAAAATTACCTTGTTAAAAAAACATGACGGTCAAGAACACTATGTACCTTGCTTTGCACAAACATTACACCATTCGGTCTGTAAGTATTGCTATAAAATTTACTTTGCTTGGTCTATGCTATTTTTACCACATCAACCTTCAGGGACGACATCAAGGGCGTTTGTACTGAGGTAAGCTATCAAACAAGCTCAAATCCGATTCTGGGTCTGGCCATTTGTGTGTTACCCCCAAGCTGTGAAAAGAAATTCCACCAGTATCTTCTTTTTGTCAGATATCGTCTTGAAACTTAACTCTGTCAACGATTCTGCCTATGAAGGTTAAAGGTCAACGTCAGCGCTTCCATGTCACGTCATTTTGCATGTGATCCACAGACTTTTTAGTGTAGCAATAACAGGGGATTCGACTTATAAATACAGAAGTATCTTTTGATACCATTAATTCTATTTCGCTTACAAGAAGCATGAGTGAGAACACTGAGCCTGGAAGAGAACTGGACGTGTGGATGTCAAAATGGGAAAAAGGACAAGCAGTCTGGCACAAAACCCATGTTCAACCGCTGCTGGTGAAAAATTTCGATTTGCTCGTCGCTGGGAAGAGAAACGCTAAGGTCCTTGTTCCTTTGTGTGGGAAAAGCTTAGATATGAAATGGTGAGGTAATAAATAATCTGCTATTAGCAATACACAAGCCTCACGATAATGTTGCATTATCACTGCAAGATGTCACGTATGGTACATTTTCAGTTTGGGGTAGTACATGTCAATTTCCGTTGAGATATGGAAGATTTTTGCTTATATTAACTTGACATGCACTTTTCCAAGTAGGCCTTCTTTTTATAGACAGGGAAAATATGGTGTTAGAAAGAACGGAACGTCTCCATCCTTCTTTTCACAGACACTCTGTCTGCATGACATTATGTTAACCCGCATTATAAAATACACTTCAGACAAGTAAATGTAATTTAAATTTTACTTTCATGTGTTGTAAAGGAATATTTCACTACAGGTGTTTTCTCCCCCCCCCCTCTCTCTCTCTCTTTGTAATGTCAATGTTGGCCAATTTGCATTACATACATTTTATCATAACAAAAGATTGGAGTTATGTTAAAGAACTCCTTCATTGCATTGCATATATGAAATGCGTTAATGACACATTCCGCGATTTTTTTTCAGGCTTGCTGACCAGGGGCATACTGTTGTTGGAGTCGAGGCATCAGAACTCGCTGTCCAGGCTTTCTTCACAGAAAACGGTATACAGCATACAGTCACCGACGTCCCTGCTATTGATTTCAAGCTTTACCAGGACCCAGACAACAAAATACGCATCTATGTGGGGGATTTTTTTAAGTTCAGCAAAGAAATGGAGGGTGAATTTGACGGAATTTGGGACAGAGCAGCACTAGGGTCCATACATTTAGAGGACCGTGAGCGCTACGTCAAACTTATGGTATCACTTATGAGTGAAGATTGTCAATACCTGGCTGAGGCATATTATTATGAAGGCACATGCACTATGCAGAGAATACCACCACCGCATTCTACTCGTCCAGATACCATATACAAGTTGTTTGAATACACCTGTGATGTGAAAATGATTGAGCACGTTGATCTAAAACAGGTCGATTTCATCTGTTCCCCTCCTTTTAAGCCTGAAATTGATGTCCTGTTTCTTTATTTGTACCTTTTCACAAAGAAGAAATAAGGTATGCATATATTTCCCCATTGATTTTTATGTAAAGGCACTGAAAATGACTATACATGTTCTGATAGATTTTTTTTGTGCTGTTGCCGTAGCCGAACCTTTCTCCCTATAGCTGTCAACTACATGTATGTATGGGTAGCTTTGTTTGGTGAAAATGTAGGCTGTGTAATAAGTGAACTTAATCAAACTTGCTTTTTCCTAATGTTATTGATGTTTGCCACAGAGTTATGGCGAATGTCAGAAAAGGAAGATTAAAGACTGGTGAGTCGTTGGAAAATGCTGTTCACAGCGGGAAAATTCGTTAAACATGAGTTATGGGGGGCGTCTCGATAGTCCGAAGGTTCATTGGTCCGAAAAACGGTAACATTTTTATCGGTTTTTTAATCAAGGGTTCATTGGTCCGAAGGTTCTGTGGTGAACCTTCGGACTATTGAACCTTCGGACTATTGCTACGGCCCCGAGTTATGATGTGAAAATCCGGGCCTTGAGAGATTTAAAGAACTTAACTTTTCTTTTCCTCTTTTTAGCTTGACACTGTTATGCTTGATATCATTCTGTTAGACTGACACTGATTGCCAGTAACTTTAAAAGTGCATATAACTGTGTAAATTACTTTAAATGTGTTTTTGAAGTAGACGGAAAAGAGGACAAATCGATAATTTGNACATTATGTTAACCCGCATTATAAAATACACTTCAGACAAGTAAATGTAATTTAAATTTTACTTTCATGTGTTGTAAAGGAATATTTCACTACAGGTGTTTTCTCCCCCCCCCCTCTCTCTCTCTCTTTGTAATGTCAATGTTGGCCAATTTGCATTACATAAATTTTATCATAACAAAAGATTGGAGTTATGTTAAAGAACTCCTTCATTGCATTGCATATATGAAATGCGTTAATGACACATTCCGCGATTTTTTTTCAGGCTTGCTGACCAGGGGCATACTGTTGTTGGAGTCGAGGCATCAGAACTCGCTGTCCAGGCTTTCTTCACAGAAAACGGTATACAGCATACAGTCACCGACGTCCCTGCTATTGATTTCAAGCTTTACCAGGACCCAGACAACAAAATACGCATCTATGTGGGGGATTTTTTTAAGTTCAGCAAAGAAATGGAGGGTGAATTTGATGGAATTTGGGACAGAGCAGCACTAGGGTCCATACATTTAGAGGACCGTGAGCGCTACGTCAAACTTATGGTATCACTTATGAGTGAAGATTGTCAATACCTGGCTGAGGCATATTATTATGAAGGCACATGCACTATGCAGAGAATACCACCACCGCATTCTACTCGTCCAGATACCATATACAAGTTGTTTGAATACACCTGTGATGTGAAAATGATTGAGCACGTTGATCTAAAACAGGTCGATTTCATCTGTTCCCCTCCTTTTAAGCCTGAAATTGATGTCCTGTTTCTTTATTTGTACCTTTTCACAAAGAAGAAATAAGGTATGCATATATTTCCCCATTGATTTTTATGTAAAGGCACTGAAAATGACTATACATGTTCTGATAGATTTTTTTTGTGCTGTTGCCGTAGCCGAACCTTTCTCCCTATAGCTGTCAACTACATGTATGTATGGGTAGCTTTGTTTGGTGAAAATGTAGGCTGTGTAATAAGTGAACTTAATCAAACTTGCTTTTTCCTAATGTTATTGATGTTTGCCACAGAGTTATGGCGAATGTCAGAAAAGGAAGATTAAAGACTGGTGAGTCGTGGGAAAATGCTGTTCACAGCGGGAAAATTCGTTAAACATGAGTTATGGGGGGCGTCTCGATAGTCCGAAGGTTCATTGGTCCGAAAAACGGTAACATTTTTATCGGTTTTTTAATCAAGGGTTCATTGGTCCGAAGGTTCTGTGGTGAACCTTCGGACTATTGAACCTTCGGACTATTGCTACGGCCCCGAGTTATGATGTGAAAATCCGGGCCTTGAGAGATTTAAAGAACTTAACTTTTCTTTTCCTCTTTTTAGCTTGACACTGTTATGCTTGATATCATTCTGTTAGACTGACACTGATTGCCAGTAACTTTAAAAGTGCATATAACTGTGTAAATTACTTTAAATGTGTTTTTGAAGTAGACGGAAAAGAGGACAAATCGATAATTTGACTCTGCCTTCAATGGGACATTTTGAGTTACGGAGACAAAATGTTCTCTAATGACAATAACAATGAAATTTAAGCTGTGCAGCATAGAAATAGGAAAATAAATATTTTCAAAGGGAAATGACTTCTGACTTTTGATTTTTGCCAAGTTCTAGTTATTTACAAGAAAGGCTGTTTTTCCTGGCTGTCTTTCCCGAAAAGAGCAACCCATGCCGGTTTTTGCAGGCGGTATAATATAATTATTCGTACCTCCGCCAATGAGGTTATGTATGTTTTTTGCCTTTGTTGATTTGCTATATAGTGAACAGCCTAAATCAAAAAGACGGATTTTGGTAATTTGGTATTGATGAATTTTTGGTGATGATCTATTTATAAAATATAAAATAGAACTGAGCAGTGTTGTTGGGGGGTCTTCGCTCTTTAAGTGCTTTTCTAGTCAACAATGGATTGAGACTTGAGAATTTTTTTTTTATTCAGCTGTTGTCTGATGTGTTTCTCTGCTTGAATAAATCAAATAAGATTTTAAATTCATTTGCACTGAAAAAAGAAAGGGCACATTCCAGTGGGCAATTTAAAGTCCGCTCAACAGAAAGCCATTTATTGACAAAGCGGTTATGCGCTGGTATGTGGTGCGACTGGTGGTCCAATTCCGACCTTCAGCTTACAGTGTTGTACGTGAATTTCTTTGTTATGGCCTTCTTGACACATTTTTCAGTTGGATGTATGAAACATGATTTAAACAATTCCCTCAAACAGATTACAAGCAAAAAATAAAGCAAATTAATAAAGCATAGAAGTCTAAAATTATTTTGACACAAAAAGTTATTTTATTTTCATTATATGCAATAACAAAAACAGTGAATATCAACAAGTTTGCCATTTCATTGCTGTCTTTTGTGATGACAAAACAGTGTCATATCTTATAGTTGCTTTTAATTTTAATTTTCTTTGTTTGAGAGTTTTTGCAGGTTTTTTGTGCTATGTAATAGCAAATTTCTTTGTGTAACAAAAACTGCAACGTTCAAATAGTTAACCGATCATGGATATATTATTTTGTATCCTCTTACTCTTTAACGTTTAAATAACTTTAAAGTTGTAGGTTGACATCTCGCAATATCATGTCAGCTGAGCAGGGTGGGAACATGTAATACCTATACTATTTTGTCTTTGTAAAAAGAAACAGGTTGAGAAACAATACGTCTACTTTGGAAGCAAAAGCGGATATCCAGATGGGATTTGGCTGCATAAGATCAACGCACTCAATTATATTTACATTGCAAGTGTTTTCAAACAACTTGGATATGGTGTCTGGATGAATGGAATGGGGTGGTGGTTCCGTGCTCCCGCCTTCATAATAAAACACCTCAGCCATATACTGACATTCTGCACTCATAAGTGATACTATGAGTTTGATATATCGCTCACGATCTTCTATTGCAATAGACCCCAGTGACCCTCTATCCCAAATTCCATCAAAATCTCCATCTATTTCTTTGCTGAAGTTGAAGAAATCTCCCACATAGATTCGTATTTTGTTGTCTGGGTCCTGGTAAAGTTTTCCATCAATAACAGGGATGTCTGTGACAGTATATTGTATATCGTTTTCTGTGAAAAAAGACTGGACAGCGATCTCTGATGCCTCCACACCAACAACAGTATGTCCCTGGTCAGCAAGCCTAAAAATGTATACACCAGAATATTTAATAATACATGTCATATTTTTGTTTTGTCATTTTCTCGAACAGATTTCCCCTTGAAATTCCCCGGCTAGGAATCTTGCAATACAACGCTACATGATTATAAATATAACAGTACCAAATGGAAGATGGTAATTGCATGGTGTATTATTTTTAGTTTACCTTAAACGTTCTTTTAAACGCAGAGGTGAACAGAAGCGGTTAAGGCCGATTGTGTATTCAATAACTATTGACAACACCAGCATGATACTTTTATTGTTTTGCCATATGCTAACGGTTTTCACTGTTGAACGGTTTAGGTACTTCACGTAGAACTTAAAAATAAGGGAGAGCGAAAAAGTCCTCCAACAAAAGTTTTCCTTAATTTTTTTACCTTTCTTGACCGTAAGAACATTGCCCGCTACACTTTGTAGCACCAGTTACATTTGCCTATATAGATTTATTGTGTGAGATACTTAATGTTTGTGACAATATTTACGGGCAAGTTGGACGACTTTTCATTCGTTTTTGAAAATAACATTTTGAAAAATAGGCAAGCAGGGTGTCTTTTGTTGGATACCTTTTATATCTAAATGGGGTAGGTTAAAAATTGAAAGGTTTACTCACACTTGTTTTATATGGATACCTGTGCAACGAATTTTAAGCCTCTAGAATTTTCAGAAAACAATTATACGAGAAAACTAGTTGAGGAATTCTCTGTCTTCAAAAACGTAGGCCACAGCCAATACTAGGACTGCGAAGTGCATGTATAAAGCGTAGAGCAATGAGAAGGTCAAGATGCAAAACACTGGTTTTAAAATAATGTTAGTTTATCACTGATTTATTATCACTATATACTGTCCAGAAGCCAGTTGCATTCCTGAGGTCATTTGTTTACTTACCATTTCATGTCCAAACTTTTCCCACAAAGAGGAAAAAAGATCTTAGCGTTTTTCTTTCCAGCCAAAAGCCGACCTAAATTTTTCAGCAGTAGCTGGTGAACAACGTTCCTGTGCCAGATTGGTTGTCCTTCTTTCCATTTTGATTTCCACGTGGCTAAACTCCATCCTGTTTTTCTGTCCTTTTCCATGCTTTTAATCCGGAAACTCCCGTCTTGACAGGTACGACTGACTTAACGTACAGAAATTAAACTTGTTGATATTATTTCGGATTTGAACTCAATTTGACAAAGTTTGACAACAGAATTTCATGAAAACATATGTCAAAGGCCCGGACCAAATCTAGTCCTATGCATAAAAAGCCCAGACCCTATGTTTATTACACCCTGGCTGGTCCCTTTCTTTATGGTGTCTTTGCATTGTTAACAGCATAATCGTGTAAAGTTCACAAAAATAATTCCCAGACGTTTTAATTAATTTGATTAGAGTCGATTGCTTGTGCACTCGACTAGTTTATGGCCTTCCTATAATTATGTAACTTAAGTGGACGTGTGCAATTTGAATAAATAAAATTAGTATGTACCGCCAAATAATGCAGCACCGAATCCACCTATAGATAAGAAATATGTATAAAGGACGTCTAGAATTAAGATCGGGAGTTCAGAAGGAAGAAGACTCGAAGGAGACCGCTCGACGGAGCCATGGGAGACGGCCTAGAGCTTGGAGATTTCATGTAGATGATGTAGTTAGACAGAGTCAACCAATAAACCATTAAACTGGTCATTATGTGGACTTGGGTTTTCTTTGCGCGACCTTACGTAAATCTTACACGAACTGTGGAATCTTTGGATCGCGTTATCCACTAAGTAAGTCGAAAACGTAATGTCCTATTTCGAGCCCACGCTTGAATTAAGCGTACAAAATTATATAAGTTTAGGACATTCATCTCATATGTATATGTAAAGGTACATAACAATGGGCAAGTTAAATGACCAAGTTAAATGACCAAGTTAATTGGCCAAGCTGCCACTTTGTTTGTATGTCATGTGCAGGGGATGTCTTAGATCAAGGCACACATTATAATACTTACAGGAGTGGCAAATGAGACATACTTGTACTCAGTATTTCATTACCTGTGATTTGTAAAATACATATGAGGGTGATACTTTGAAAGATATGTTTAATGTTTAAAGAAAAGACAAGTAGATTGATTAAGTAACATTTATTAAAGAAATGTTAAATTAAAGGTGGGCTTTATTTGTTAGTTTGTGAAGTGTGAAAAAGGTCTTTGTATTATCTGCATTTTCTTAAGGATAAATTACAAAGATCTTTTTCAAACTTTATTTTTATGTTATAATAATAAGGATAAAGGATTAAATATAGGATAAGGAATAAATTGGTATCATGCTAATGTAACATTTATTAGTTTTTATTTTTATTAGTTTTAACAATTGTATCCTAATGAATCGACTTTATCAGTGTTCTTAACTGGCATAGATTATGATGTAAATAAAAATATATTATAACTTTAGGGAGTTTTTTTACAGCTATGCCTGCAAATAGAGCAAAGTTTTACTATTAATTCACATTTTTCTTTGTAATTTATCCTTAAGAAAATGCAGAGATTTTCCCAAAAGGTCAACAAAACATTTAAGAGCAGACTTTTTCCTATAATCTGTATAAAATCTAGATAACTAAAATAACACACTAACAAATGGAGCCCACCTTTAATTTAACATTTCTTTGGTAAGTGCTACTAAATCAATCTACATGTCTTTTCTTTAAACATTTTAATGTTTGGAAACATCTTTAAAAGTATCATCCTCAGATGTATTTTACAAATGAAATACAAGTATATCTCATTTGCCACAGGAGTAAGTATCATAATATGTGCCTTGATCTAAGACATCCCCTGCACATGACATACAAACAAAGTGGCAGCTTGGCCAATATTAACTTGGTCAATTAACTTGCCCATTATGCTGTTAACAATGCAAAGACACCGTAAAGAATGGGCCCAGCCAGGGTGTAATAAACATGGGGTCTGGGCTTTATATGCATAAGACAAGATTTGGTCTGGGCCTTTGACATATATGTTATTCAAAATTTTGGCCAACAACATCTCTGTCCGATATGTGACACCAGAAAAATTGATGATAAGTACTATTATATGGTCATAAGAGTATATGGTCATAATTCACATTAGTATGAAATGTGAATGTACATGCAATCCGCACCACAGGGGCGTAGCACGGCCAGGGAAGAATATAATTTAACTGTAGGCCACAGTGTGCCTGGACGGTTTTGTGAATATTCAGATGTACCGGTACGATGTATAATTGTTTCAGATAGCTCAATAAAGAAATTTTTCACTGATAGTAAATAAATAAGTAAATAAAAAAAAACAGTGATTGTGAAAACTTAAAACTGTTGATTGTGTAATTTCAGTCAAATAAAAAAAAAGATTATTAAATGGTCCCTACAACACAAAGGCCACTTTATTACATTGATCATGCTTACTTGTGGTACTGCATTCCCGTACTATTATGTAATCTTTTAATGACCTTTTATATATTATTAAAATACTTTCTCTCAAGTGCAGTTTTGATTATTATCACAATCTGTTAAATGTATGCTGTATAAAGTAGATTACAAGAACGAAACTAGAGGATCAGAACAGCTACACTGCCATCAGTGCTCAAGCTACTGTTGCAATAATGTATATAGAAAAAGTTCTCTACACTAAAAAAGGGATCTTCTTCCTGCAGTCACTTTTAAGGTCACTGATATCAATGAGCTAAATAGACTATACAATCTAAATAGATTCTCAAGTTGCATTGTGAATGAATGGCATTTTTCTTGGCAGCAAAGTCACTCTCCTAGGCAGACTTGTATTAAAACTCTCCATTGATTGTCTCACAGCTTGGAAACAAGAATTGCATTAATGTGAAATCTTGATAAGAGAGGGGCAAAAGGAACTAAACTGTAAAACCCATCCTCTTGGCCATTGATACACTTCAACAGTTTAACATTGTAATCATTTCCAAACAGTTCCCTGACACATTCAAGTGGGATAGCATGTGGGGAACCAGATTTCTCACTTGGTATAAAATCCATGGCCTCAATCAAGCAATGGCACCCTGGTTTCAACACTGAATTTATTATGTTGACATACTGCAGACGGTCACTCTCATCAATGGCTACAAGAGAAGCACGATCCCATATAGCATCAAACTGTCCTTCGAAGTCCTGATTAAACTTGAAGAAATCTCCCACATAGATTCGTATTTTGTTGTCCATGCTGCAGTAGAGGGTGCCCTGGATGGCATCACATGGTTCCACTTTATAAGCAATGTTCTGTTCTGTGAAGAATTCTGTCGCGGCTTTTTCTGCTCCATCCACCCCAATAACTGTGTGGCCCAAGTCTGCCAACCTAAATGGAAGAAGATATATTGTCAGAGTTCTTTCATTTAATAAACATCTATAGTTTAGTCACTAGATTTAAGATAAAGCACTGATATAAATACCATAAGCACAATATTCCACAAATTTAAAAGAATATTTTTATTGCTTGTAAATGTTCTGTTTGGAGTATGAAGGTTCTACAATGACCTACAATGCCAGTCCTTAACAGAAATGCTTCCCTAAATTAAACAAATAAATCTTCTTTTCTGAAGCTCTCTGAAAGTGTTGGAATACCTCAAAGGTAAAATAAGCAGCAACTTAAGTACTTGGCATGGTGTCTTTGACTACAACCCTTGTATAAACAAATAAAATCACAACTAACACCCCATTTCCATAGATTTTTAGATCTATCTATCCCTGTGGGGAGTCTCACTAGATTACTATCAGCTTGGCCGGCTTAAGCGTCTGTGACGCCTACTAAAAGCTGTAAGGTGGTAATTAACTATGGTGCCCGCTCGGCTGACTGCAATTTAGCGTGAACCCCCAGGGAGTTAGGTCGATCTAAATCTTAATCTTCGGATTGATCTAAATCTCAGGGAAAGCACCCTAAGACTGGGTTCCCATCCCTAAATTGATCTAACAGGATCGTTCCATCTCCATGGGGGTTCTCGCTAAATTGCTCTCAGCTCAAGTGGCTTAGATGTCTGCCACACCTACTAAAGCTGCTAATCGATAGTTATAATTTTCCCCTATCAGCTTCAGTAGGCGTGACAGACATCTAAACCACTTAAGTTAATTGCAATTAAACGAGAATCCCCTAGGAGATAGTGCAATCCAAAGTTGGCACAATAGGGTCTGGGAATTGTCTCTAAGAGTCAGTAAAAATCACTTTACCATTTCATATCAATAGTTTTGCCACACAGTGGAACCAAAATCTTGGCTGCCTTTTGGCCTGCTAACAAAACATCCAAGAACTCCTCCAGAAAACAGTTCACATTTGGCATGTGCCAGCGCGTACTGTTCCTTTCCCATGCACCAATCCAACCATCCAACCTCTCACTGCTTGCATCTGCCATGACGTCTACTGAAATTTTTGTATCCACGCAAAGATTTCTGAAATGGTATTTGATATACTGAGGGTTTTTGGGTAAGATTATATATAACTTAACATTTGGTCATTATTATGCTCTATAGATCCATTCCCAATGAATTGATTTTTCTACAGACAGAAAAAAGTTTTATTTACAGTGAGTTACACAGAAAATCATGATCAAATAACAAGATGACCAACTGAGAGAGTCAAACTAACCTTAGAATCTTTTAAGAATCTCCCCTCCCCCAAAAATGGCAATTACTCATGAATCATTTCTTGATGTGTCATGACCCTTGACCTCTATGTTTATTAGTATGTTTAATTAAATTATTTTAAAAGTTGTAAATGACTGGTTATATACGGTAATGTGCCATGAATTTCGAACAGTAAAAAATAATTAAATTTGGGAAAAGATCGTTCTGGCCGAAATTCATGAAATGGAGATGCTCAGAACTTCCGAAAGTTCGAATTTCATGNTATATCAATCTACATGTCTTTTCTTTAAACATTTTAATGTTTGGAAACATCTTTAAAAGTATCATCCTCAGATGTATTTTACAAATGAAATACAAGTATATCTCATTTGCCACAGGAGTAAGTACTGTATCATAATATGTGCCTTGATCTAAGACATCCCCTGCACATGACATACAAACAAAGTGGCAGCTTGGCCAATATTAACTTGGTCAATTAACTTGCCCATTATGCTGTTAACAATGCAAAGACACTGTAAAGAATGGGCCCAGCCAGGGTGTAATAAACATGGGGTCTGGGCTTTATATGCATAAGACAAGATTTGGTCTGGGCCTTTGACATATATGTTATTCAAAATTTTGGCCAACAACATCTCTGTCCGATATGTGACACCAGAAAAATTGATGATAAGTACTATTATATGGTCATAAGAGTATATGGTCATAATTCACATTAGTATGAAATGTGAATGTACATGCAATCTGCACCACAGGGGCGTAGCACGGCCAGGGAAGAATATAATTTAACTGTTTTGTGAATATTCAGATGTACCGGTACGATGTATAATTGTTTCAGATAGCTCAATAAAGAAATTTTTCACTGATAGTAAATAAATAAGTAAATGAAAAAAAAAAACAGTGATTGTGAAAACTTAAAACTGTTGATTGTGTAATTTCAGTCAAATAAAAAAAAAGATCATTAAATGGTCCCTACAACACAAAGGCCACTTTATTACATTGATCATGCTTACTTGTGGTACTGCATTCCCGTACTATTATGTAATCTTTTAATGACCTTTTATATATTATTAAAATACTTTCTCTCAAGTGCAGTTTTGATTATTATCACAATCTGTTAAATGTATGCTGTATAAAGTAGATTACAAGAACGAAACTAGAGGATCAGAACAGCTACACTGCCATCAGTGCTCAAGCTACTGTTGCAATAATGTATATAGAAAAAGTTCTCTACACTAAAAAAGGGATCTTCTTCCTGCAGTCACTTTTAAGGTCACTGATATCAATGAGCTAAATAGACTATACAATCTAAATAGATTCTCAAGTTGCATTGTGAATGAATGGCATTTTTCTTGGCAGCAAAGTCACTCTCCTAGGCAGACTTGTATTAAAACTCCCCATTGATTGTCTCACAGCTTGGAAACAAGAATTGCATTAATGTGAAATCTTGATAAGAGAGGGGCAAAAGGAGCTAAACTGTAAAACCCATCCTCTTGGCCATTGATACACTTCAACAGTTTAACATTGTAATCATTTCCAAACAGTTCCCTGACACATTCAAGTGGGATAGCATGTGGGGAACCAGATTTCTCACTTGGTATAAAATCCATGGCCTCAATCAAGCAATGGCACCCTGGTTTCAACACTGAATTTAGTATGTTGACATACTGCAGACGGTCACTCTCATCAATGGCTACAAGAGAAGCACGATCCCATATAGCATCAAACTGTCCTTCGAAGTCCTGATTAAACTTGAAGAAATCTCCCACATAGATTCGTATTTTGTTGTCCATGCTGCAGCAGAGGGTGCCCTGGATGGCATCACATGGTTCCACTTTATAAGCAATGTTCTGTTCTGTGAAGAATTCTGTCGCGGCTTTTTCTGCTCCATCCACCCCAATAACTGTGTGGCCCAAGTCTGCCAACCTAAATGGAAGAAGATATATTGTCAGAGTTCTTTCATTTAATAAACATCTATAGTTTAGTCACTAGATTTAAGATAAAGCACTGATATAAATACCATTAGCACAATATTCCACAAATTTAAAAGAATATTTTTATTGCTTGTAAATGTTCTGTTTGGAGTATGAAGGTTCTACAATGACCTACAATGCCAGTCCTTAACAGAAATGCTTCCCTAAATTAAACAAATAAATCTTCTTTTCTGAAGCTCTCTGAAAGTGTTGGAATACCTCAAAGGTAAAATAAGCAGCAACTTAAGTACTTGGCATGGTGTCTTTGACTACAACCCTTGTATAAACAAATAAAATCACAACTAACACCCCATTTCCATAGATTTTTAGATCGATCTATCCCTGTGGGGAGTCTCACTAGATTACTATCAGCTTGGCCGGCTTAAGCGTCTGTGACGCCTACTAAAAGCTGTAAGGTGGTAATTAACTATGGTGCCCGCTCGGCTGACTGCAATTTAGCGTGAACCCCCAGGGAGTTAGGTCGATCTAAATCTTAATCTTCGGATTGATCTAAATCTCAGGGAAAGCACCCTAAGACTGGGTTCCCATCCCTAAATTGATCTAACAGGATCGTTCCATCTCTATGGGGGTTCTCGCTAAATTGCTCTCAGCTCAAGTGGCTTAGATGTCTGCCACACCTACTAAAGCTGCTAATCGATAGTTATAATTTTCCCCTATCAGCTTAAGTAGGCGTGACAGACATCTAAACCACTTAAGTTAATTGCAATTAAACGAGAATCCCCTAGGAGATAGTGCGATCCAAAGTTGGCACAATAGGGTCTGGGAATTGTCTCTAAGAGTCAGTAAAAATCACTTTACCATTTCATATCAATAGTTTTGCCACACAGTGGAACCAAAATCTTGGCTGCCTTTTTGCCTGCTAACAAAACATCCAAGAACTCCTCCAGAAAACAGTTCACATTTGGCATGTGCCAGCGCGTACTGTTCCTTTCCCATGCACCAATCCAACCATCCAACCTCTCACTGCTTGCATCTGCCATGACATCTACTGAAATTTTTGTATCCACGCAAAGATTTCTGAAATGGTATTTGATATACTGAGGGTTTTTGGGTAAGATTATATATAACTTAACATTTGGTCATTATTATGCTCTATAGATCCATTCCCAATGAATTGATTTTTCTACAGACAGAAAAAAGTTTTATTTACAGTGAGTTACACAGAAAATCATGATCAAATAACAAGATGACCAACTGAGAGAGTCAAACTAACCTTAGAATCTTTTAAGAATCTCCCCTCCCCCAAAAATGGCAATTACTCATGAATCATTTCTTGATGTGTCATGACCCTTGACCTCTATGTTTATTAGTATGTTTAATTAAATTATTTTAAAAGTTGTAAATGACTGGTTATATATAGTCATTTAGGCCATTATGACTTCTTTAAAATTTCCAAAAGAACATATGGACATCATTTCTAAGGTCTAATTGGGGAAAAATAAGTAGCTTTTCAAGATACGTAGATGTACAAAATGTGACCTTTGAACATTTTCAAATTTGTTCAGTACAGCCTGTACCATCTGTTTAATGATCGAGAGGTCTAACTGCAAGTGAGTCAAGCCATTTTGCCAAGTGCAGTGTTAATGATAACAATATGTTCAGCCTAAGAAGTAACAAGTAGCTTTCAAGAATTATAACATAAAGGAATTTATTAAAATTTATTGATAGATGGTATAACATTTTGATCTGGCTCATTGCATCAAGGGAAATAAACATATACAGGTACATTACTTTGAACACATTGCTTTTTTGTGCTATTCTCAATATACAAGAGCATATTGAAACCATTCAAAATGCAATCCAAATTCACGTTTGCTTTGATACTAATTAATGCTGCTATCTGGATTTGTATAATTAACATAACATACATATAGAAAAAAGGTATAAAATTTTCATAAAAATTAATTTTGTTGCTTTTCTAGTATATTACAAAGAGGCAATTTATAATTAAGTAAATGGTAAGTCGTAAAAATATTTATTAAGTAATCACTGAATTAATGAAATACTGATAATTGTTGGACATACACAGAGATGATCCTAAAATGTCAAGTGTCAACACCTTATTTCTTCTTTAAAAAAAGATAAATGTAAACAAACAAAACATCTACTTTAGAAGAAAAAGAAGAAGTACAGATGGCATCTGGCTGTTTAAGATCAATATGCTCAATCATTTTCACATCACAGGTGTTTTCAAACAGCTTGTGAATGGTGTCTGGATGAACGGAATGTGGCGGTGGTTCCTTGTCTCCGCCTTCATAATGGTACACCTCAGCCAGGTATTGACAATCCTCACTCATTAGTGATACCATGAGTTTGACATAGCGCTCACGATCTTCAATATCAATAGCAACAAGAGACCCTCTGTCCCAAATGCTATCAAATTCTCCCTCTATTTCTCTGCTGAATTTGAAGAAATCTCCCACATAGATTCGTATTTTGTTGTCTAAGTCCTGGTAAAGCTTGCCATCAATAGCAGGGACGTCGGTGACAGTGTACTGTATATCGTTTTCTGTGAAGAAAGACTGGACAGCAAGTTCTGATGCCTCCACACCAACAACAGTATGTCCTTGGTCAGCAAGCCTAAAATAACAAATAAAACCTTAGATTAAATTTTCTCAATACACATCATTTACAATATTATGTAAAACATTTCCCATTCATTTTTTAATCAAACTAAAATTTTGTAGATTTAAAGTAGGGGAAACCTTGAGACTTTTAGATATTAACCCATTACAGTGACGTCATATTTGCTCCGTAACACTAGTCTAGCAGCCATACTGGAGGGAAAGAACGACGGGGATTAGTAGCGTTAATATAGGTAAACCAAATAAAATAAACTAAAATTCATATCGCGATCAAGTACACCAAAAAGAAAAGTGTATACACATGTGAAAACTACAGCTGATCAGCGGGATTGACCCATATAAACTGAGGACAGTCCAAAGATGAGAAATCCTGACTTATCCCAACATCGTGGAATTGTCAGAAGCTAGTTCAGTTATCTTGTACTTCATTTTTCTTGTTCACTGGATAATGACAGTTATAGTTTTAGAGGGTTTAATGTGTAATCATAAGTTCAACCTTTCATAGAAGCAACTTTTTACATAAAGGATAGATGTAAGGAGAAATTTGAGCTGACCATTGGGATCGACCCTTTAGGACTCAAAGAAGACAGTATGCAGGGTTGTCTTATAACAAGAAATATTGCTGTCAGATATGATTTAACT